ATATATATATATATATATATATATATATATATATCCTTTTTAAAATATAGTTGTTCTTTTGGTATCAATTACTTAAGCTTGTTATATAAACATATTTCATGTATGACGATTTTACCATAGCAATTAATTATCCCCACAGTAAATTCGTCTAAACAGAATGTATCTAACTTACTTATCCCCCAAGAAATGTGCCAATTTATTCATTACAAATAAGCCAACTAAGCCCATAGTCAAACTACTAGACTAATAAACCCCTTATAAATAACCTACTCCAATGGCTATGGAGTTCCTCAATTAATTCATTCTTTCTTTTCCAACCAAAACCAGTTAACCAACTCTCCTTTTCTCCCCCAAGAATATTCAACCAAAAAAAAAAACCTCCATTCTTTCTCTTCTTTCTGTTTGATACTTGGTTGGTAGGGTCAGGACCTTTCTCGCTGAGGGCATCCGATTTTAAAGTCCATTCTTATTCGTAAACCGAAAATATACCATTTCCCAGCATTGCAAGAAATCATGGTCGTTCTACCAATAAAGAGAGAAAGAGAAGGAGAATTTCGAACCAATATAACAACAATGGCAAATTACTTGATGCTTTTTTCTAGCCAAGAAAATCATTTTGACACAATCAACAATTCTCCTAGTCGAGTTTTCGAGTGCAAAACTTGCAATAGACAATTTTCTTCATTCCAAGCTCTTGGAGGTCATAGAGCAAGTCATAAGAAGCCAAGATTAATGGGAGAATTGAATTTTCATCAGTTGCCAACATCTCCACCTAAACCAAAAACACATGAGTGTTCAATATGTGGGGTTGAGTTTCCTATAGGTCAAGCTTTAGGTGGGCATATGAGAAGGCATAGAGGTATGACAAATGAAAATAGTATTCAAGTTCCTAATCATGTTGTAAAGAAATCAAATAATAGTCGAAGAGTTTTATGTTTGGATTTGAACTTGACGCCATTGGAGAATGATTTAGAGTTCAAGTTGGGAAAGTCAGCTCCTGTAGTTGATTGCTTCTTGTGATTATTGAACAAATAAAGCCTATCTAGATGCTATTTTGTTTTTTCCGTTTCTATTTTATTTCTTTCCTTTTTCTTCTTATGGATCCTGTACTAGCTAGATAGTGTTTTATTTATTTGTTTGTATAAACAATCCAAACTCGAAGTGGTTCCTTGTTCTGGTCAGAGACCATTGTGTTTACCCCAGTGGTCCAACAAAGAGGCGAAGTAGTGGTACCTCTATTTTCGTCAGATAGATAGGGCTGGACGGAGGTACGTACAACATACGAAGGGTGATCAATTGATCGTCGAAAAATTATATGATGTATATAAAATAAATAATACATCTTTTATATATATATATATATATATATATGTATATATTAAATCTTGAAAACCCTTGGGTGACTTAACATCAAAGACGCCTTGTGGATACTTTCTAGTTTCTACTGAATGATAGCAAGGGCATTTATTTATTGGTTTACATTTTCAACTTGGACCACTCTTAAAACAGTTCATTGATATAAAAAACTTTTCCCCTTTCCATTAAGTAGAACATCAGTTGCGGTAAACGGATTGCTTGCTAGGATTTTACATAAATCAACTGAAAAAAAAAGACGTATATATTTAGAGGTCGTAGCTATATTAAGTAGCTTTTTTTTTCCATAGGTTGTTAAATGCTGAATAGATAGCCAAAGAGAGAAAAAACACTTGAAGGATTCTTAGCTCGTACCTCCTCTCTACTACTCCTTATTTTAATTTTTTTTAAGAATTAATAAACCCCCCTTCAAAATGAGTATAGCGGAAATCAAAGGAACTAATTATTAATGGCGTGGACGGCCAAGTGCTAGTTTAGTTTTAGTTTTAAGTTCTAATTTTAATAGATTAAAAAACTAAATGCTTGCTTTACTAATATTTAAACTATCATAAAAAAATTATATAGTTCACATCAAGCATGTTCTTAACCGGAAACAGCCTCTGTAGCTACCTTCCTAAGGTACGAGTAAGGTCTGCGTACACACTATATTTCTCAAACCCCACTTGTGGGATTCAACTGACCTTGTTGTTATAGTTGTTTTACATCAAACACGTTCTTAATATATACTAAGACTTTAGTTTATACTTTATACTAGCTGTTTCCTCAATTAATTTATTGTACTACTATTTCTTATAGAAAATTAAAACAGCACAGGCCTATCTTCAGTTTATACAAGAGAAATTTAATCATCTTTTCTCTTTAAGTTTTCTCAAATTCTTTATTACTCCCTTTGGTCCACTTTAATTGATTTTTTGACCTTTTTTGTGGTCCACAATATTTGGTTTTTTTAGATATCAAGCAGGAATTAACTTTTTTTATTCCAAAGTTGCCCTTAGAGTAAAGAGCCTAGGAGTATTTGTTGTATTTCTAATGAATAAATTACGGTTAATATGGTCAATTTCGTTGTTAATTAATGTTAATAGGTGAATTCCTTAATATGTGTAAAACAGTCAAAAAGTCTATAATAATATATTAAAAACACGAAGGCCCTTAGCGAAATGTCGTTCTCCTTTTTTAACCTTTCAAAAGATAATCTTGCACTAGGCAAAATCGTCATTTAACGATTTACCTAATATTTAAGATTTTAAAATAAATAAAATTTTAACTACTAAGTCTTTCCTTACAAGTATATTAATTCCTTATTTGAATTGGGTAAAATAACTAATCTTAATTCCAAAAATATTAACGCTCTCACGTTAGGTAGATATGAGTATGTTTATCTAAACATTATAAAACCTAAAAGCATAAACAAAGCCAAAATAATTATTGATTGGACACAACCAGGATTTTTGCTTTGGAATTATTAGTTATTGTGGTTTCTAAGAATGATTTTGATAATACCTAAATAGTTACTTTTTATATGTTAGTTTTGAAAAATAAATAATCTGAAAGTATAAAATAACTATAAAGTTCTGGAAATAAACCTAACTAAAAGTAAAATATTTAAGGTGCCTACAATCTAAAAATTTGTGAAGTAATTTATATGAAGTTAGTTGTCACAGAGTTGAAGTTGGTCGACTTCTTCACTTTTGTAGCTTTAAAAACTAAACTGTTTCTTCAACAAATAATTCCATGTTAAAAAATTATATTAACATTTAAAAATTTATGTATTATTTAAAATTTTGAATCCAACTAATTAAATTTCACTCTAATTTATAGAATATGATTTAAGAATCAATGTCTGCACTAAAAACTTTTCGATAGACGAGTCTAATCTATCTATCTATATTTGACACTACATATCTTAAAAATATAAAATATTAACATAAAATGTTTATCAACTTTACCCGTCGTAATCATTATAAGTGTCGTTCTTGTTAAATAAAAATCGTAATTATAAATAATGATTTATTTTTAGTGGAACTAATATTTAAGATTTTAAGGATTTTTATAAGGTAGAGTTTCTTTCTTTATTGAGTTAATTAAATATCGACACTAATCATTATTTTCATGATTTTATACTTTCTTGGTTTAACTTTAGTATATATCTCAAACATAATTTGTAATATAATATTTATGTGACTTTTTAAAAACTGTCATACTTATTGAGATGAGGTACACGCGCAAAATGCATACTTTAAGACTAGTCAATTAAAATAGATCGAAGGGAGTAATGTATAACTATACGCTAATTAACGTGAATTAATTAAGCTGACAAGGAATGACATCGGCAATATGAAAGTCCTACCTTTTATTTAATGATATTAACAAAAAGTCAATGATCATTAACTGAGGAGCGATGTCAAGACAGTGTGCTCACTGCATAAAAACGGAAATGTGTCATTAATCTGTTGCTAAATAGCTCGTAACTAATAGAATCTTTTGATAACTTATCAATAATATATACTAAATAGGATTAACGATAAAAAAAAATTTGTTTAGCTAAAAATTTGTCTAGCTAAAAATTTGTCGGTAGCTAGTTCCTGTATTTTAGTAGTGGCTTTTCACAATTAAGGGTGTGGAAGTAACAAGTCTGCCAAAGAACAGCCAGTTTTTAGGTCTTGGAGAAATTAATTGTTCAGTCTGTTCTTATAAAATTTCAGTACAATAGTTTCGCCTTATTTTCTATCCAAAGTCATGCTGTTTTTAATTAAGAGCCTGTTTGGATATGCAATTGTAAATAGCTGATAAGCTTGAAGTGTTGAAAAATATTTTTAAGTGCTGAAGCTGATTTTTTAAATAAGCATTTAAGTGTTTGGATAGACGGGCTGAAACTGATAATAAGCAGTTGATGTGTTTGGTAGAAAAGTGCTGATAAATTGTTCTTTTATTAAAATGACTAAAATATCCTTAAAAACTTTACAAAAGGTTATAAATTAAAAAGTTTCTTTGTAAAGAAAAAGATGAACAATGAATATGGAATGAAAAGAAAGTTAGAAAATTTATTTTGGGAAAAATATTTTGTGAATTAGAAAATATTATTAAGGATAACTAGTAAAAGTCTTGGTCAAACTAAAAATGCTTATAAGCTAAAAAGGCATAAGTTGAGGGTGACCAACTTATGACTTATGGCTGATTTTAGCTTATAAGCACTTGGCTTATAAGCATTTTGAGTATTTACCAAACGCATAAATAAACCAAAAGGTGCTTATAAGCTAGTTTGACCGGCTTAGCGAGCTTAGCCAAAGTTTTTGATAATTTCTTTAAAAAGGCCAAATGACTCGACTACTACATAACGAGGTTAGTTTTTACAATAAAAAATTAGCATGTAGCCTTGGCAATGAAATTTCTTTTGGTAAAGTACAACTTACCCCTTTAGAGGATCTATTCGTCGCAAATCCTATTTAAACGCACCAGCGAGCTATTTTAAATAGAAAATTTTAATTAAAGATAAGTTTGTATTATAGTATGTGCAGTAAAAAATCCCAAAAATAAATTTGCACTTCTCTTACTAAAAAAGAATTAGTACCATCTTGCTGCTGACCTTGCATACATAGGAATGGCCAAATAGAGATCAACTCTGAGTTGCTTCTTGGAGAAACAAAATATGATAAAGTTGAAAAATACAATTTTTAAATTTGACTAACTCAAGTTGGGATCAAATTAAAATCAATGTAATTTTCAAAGCTATGACAACTAAGAAACCTATGGTATGACTTGTCCTTTTGCTAAGTACGCATATGGTGACGACTTATGATGCTATCACTATTATTAGTCAAGCACTTAATTATTTTATGAAAAAATCACACAATTTCTCGAGAGTCCTTTGGTAATGATTACCGCTTAATTATAGTTAATTAATATATATTATTACATACAGTTTAATTAGTGTAAATAATATGTGCGGATAAATTTTCATTTCTTGCGTAACATATTCGCGATTAAAAAAATTGTGACAAGTTACTTGTAGAATATAAGATGTACATGTATATCCTATATTCTAGATCCTCGTTGAAGGTTAGGCTATTTGAGGAGAAATAGTAAGAGAAAATGTTCCTTAATCTAGAAGGAGAAAATTAGTCCCTAACAATAAAACCTAACAAAGCAGAGAAAAAAAGACAATAATAATCTTTGAAATTTTGAAATATTACCATCTAAGTGATCACCTTAATTTAATATCCACCTTTTCTGCTTCACACATATAGACACTCAAAAAATCTTTATGTGCACACTTTACTGACGGGTTTATCAAGTCAACAATTAACTTACAAAAATAAAGTACTAAAATTGCACGACCACATTATATCCAAAAGTTATTAGCAAGATGTTACACTGTTATTTACCTAATTATATGTTAAATATTAATAATTCATAATTTGAGCGATAAAATTGAATAAGTTGCTAAAAGTATATA